AGCCCAGGAGTTGGAGGTTGCTGTGAGCTGTAATGCCACTGCACTCTGCCCAGGGGGACAGCTTGAGGCTCTGTCTCAAAAAAAATAAATAAAATAAAATAAAATTTTTAAAAAATAATAATAAAGAGTGGTGATTAAGGGCAGCACCTGTGGTTCAGTGGGTAGGGCACCGGCCCCATATAGCAAGAATGACAGGTTCGAACCCAGCCCCGGCCAAACTGCAACAAAACTGTGGTCCCAGCTACTCGGGAAACTGAGGCAAGAGAATCGCCTAAGCTCAGGAGTTGGAGGTTGCTGTGAACTGTGTGATGCCATGGCACTCTACCAAGGGCAATAAAGTGAGACTCTGTCTTTACAAAATAAAAAAAGTGGTGATTAAGTGCCAAAGACTGTTCTGCTCTCATGGAGCTTATAGTCTAGCGGAGGAGATAAGCAAATAAAGGAAATATTTATCTGCAAAATGGTGATAAACCATGGTAAAGCAGAAATGATTACTAGGAAACACCAGAGTAAGAAGTTGCAGTGTTTAAATTGGGCTGACAAGGAAAGTCTCGCAGAGAAGCAGCCCAAAGCAGGTAGAGAAAGAGCCTCAGGGGTAACAGGAGGGTAGAGTGAACGGGAGACTCAGAAAATCTCTTCCATTTTCCTTTGCTCTCCCACAGCTGCCCACATCCCTTGTCCTGATTCTTGGCTGGTTTCTAATTTGGGTCCCCACTCCCCTACCTGAGTCTAGTAGAAAGTACCCTGAACAATGCAGTTCCTAGAAAGCCATGTATCCCAGGATAGGTGAACAAATTGGACTCCGATCTGTGTGGCAATTTCTGGTAAAGTCATTTAGGGTGAGTCAGTTCTAAGAAATTGGTCCCTGCAGTGTTCAGAACGCAGGGCTAAAGTGGTCATGCCAGTCAGCCAGGACTAGGTTCAGATCTTGGTTCCACTGCACACTAATTATAACACAAGGTAAGTGTTCCTCAGCCTCTCCCAGCCCTAGTGTCCTCATCTATAGCACTAGCAATGCTTACTGTGCCAAGAGGTTACGTGAAAAGTGGTGATGTATCTGAATCTGTAGTCATGGGCTGGACACGTCTGTAATCCCAGCACTTTGGAAGGCCAAGGCAGGTGGATCATTGGAGCCCAGGAGTTCATGACTGTCCTGGACAATATAGCAAGACTCCATCTCTACAAAAAAATGAAAAATATTAGCTAGCCCTGATGTTGTGCACCTGTAATCCCAGCTACTCTGGAGGCTGAGGCAGGAGGATCACTTGGCCTTCCTTGAGCCCAGGAGTTCAGGGCTGCAGTGAACTATGATTGTGCCACCACACCCCATCCAGAGGGATGTTGTCTTAAAAAAAAACAAAAAAGTCTAAGCATGATACTTAACACAGAAGGAGCACAAGAACTGGTAATAATTTGGAGAGGTTTATACTGAGTTCGAAGGTACAGCCATGTCCTAGAGAGTTATGCCCAAGAATCCTTGATCAAGTAGTCCTGCCATGTTTGGGTTACAGTTTGATTTTATACATTTTAGGGAGATAGGAATTGCCTGTAAAATCGTAAATCATGGTGCACATTGGTTTGCCCGGGCAAGACATCTCAAGGCGGAGGCTTACAGGTTATAGTTGGGTTTAAAGATCCTTTGATTTCAGGCAACGCCTGTAGCTCAAAGGAGTAGCGCACCAGCCCCATACACCTGAGGTGGTTGTTCAAACCCAACCCCAGCCAAAAACTGCCAAAGAAAAAAAAAAGATTTTTTGATTTACAGGCTCTGCACCCGTAGCTCAGTGAGTAGGGCGCCGGCCATGTACACCAAAGCTGGCGGGTTCAAGCCCGGCCTGGGCCTGCTAAAACAACAGTGAGAACTGCAACCAAAAAATAGCCAGGCATTGTGGTGGGCACCTATAGTCCCAGCTACTCGGTAGGCTGAGGCAAGAGAATCACTTAAGCCCAAGATTTGGAGATTCCTGTGAGCTGTGATGCCACAACACTCTACCGAGGACAACGTAGTGAGATTCTGTCTCAAAAAAAATAAAAAAGAAAGGTTCTTTGATTTGCAGTTGTTAAAGAAATGAAGCTTTGTCTAAAGGCTTGGAACATTTTGGGGTTTTTTGTTTTTTTGAGACAGAGTCTCACTTTGTCGCCCTCCATAGAGTGCTGTGGCATCACAGCTCACAGCAACCTCAAACTCTTGGGCTTAAGTGATTCTCTTGCCTCAGCCTCCCAAGTAGCAGGGACTACAGGTGCCCACTACAACACCTGTCTGTTTTTTTTTGTTGTTGCAGTTGTCTTTGTTTTAGCTGGCCTGGGCGGGGTTTAAACCTGCCAACCTCCTTGTACGTGGCCAGTGCCCTACCCACTGAGTACAGACACCACCTAAGGCATGGAATGTTTTAAGTTAAGGAAGTCTGTTAATAGAGACAAGCCACCAGGTGGCTAAGGCGTCAGCCACATACACCTGAGCTGGCGGGTTCGAATCCAGCCTGGGCCCGCCAAACAACAATGACACTGCAACCAAAAAATAGCCGGGTGTTGTGGCAGGCACCGGTAGTCCCAGCTACTTAGGAGACGGAGGCAGGAGAATCACTTGAGCCCAGGAGTTGGAGGTTGCTGTGAGCTGTGATGTTACAGCGCTCTACCCAGGGTGACAGCTTGAGGCTCTGTCTCAAGAAAACAAACAAAACAAAAAATTAAGTTTGAAATCCCTGTCATCTACTCAACAATTCTAGGAATTTACTTATTTGGAAATAATTGTCCAAGTAGACAAAGACATACATGCAAAGATGTACAAGGATGTTCATCAAAACACTATAGGCTCAGCACCTGTAGCTCAGCAGCTAAGGTGCTGGCCACATACACTGGGGCTGGCGGGTTGGAACCCAGCCCAGGTCTGCCAAACAACAACTATAACAAAAAAATAGCCGGGCATTGTGGTAGGCACCTGTAGTCCCAGCTACTTGGGAGGCTGAGGCAAGAGAATGGCTTAAGCCCAAGAGTTTGAGGTTGCTGTGAGCTGTAACGCCATGGTACTCTACCCAGGGCGACAGCTTGAGACTCTGTCTCAAAAAATATATATTTATATATATCTAAAAGAAAACCCATCGACAAAAGTAACCTTTACCAGTATCTCAACACCTGTTGTCTTTGTGTGCCTATCTCCTCAGAGTCTCCTCAGACAAGCGTCTTTACAGTCATGGAGAAACTTTTAAGTAGATCATCACAGGGTAGCGGTGGAGGGAAAGAATGTGAGCTAAGCAGACTGGGTCAGCTGTCCTGCTTCAGCTTAGCTCCTCAGACTCCATCTTGCAGACCACTTTTCTGGGTTCACCAAGGCCCTAAAGCAGGAGTGTGCCCGTGTGTTCAGAGTGTAGCGAGGATGCTGAAAGTAGGGGCTGCTGAGGTAAAAGGAGTGGGAGAGAAAGGCGGCTGGGGGGACCAGGGAACGAGCACAAAGGGTCTGATTGGCTTTAATGAGGCCTATGCATTTTATTCCCGGTGAAACCAGTCTTTGCAGGGTTTGGGCACAGGAATGACGTGATCCATTTTCAGGTCTTAGAAGGAACAGTCTGGCTACTATGTTAAGAACAGACTGTTAGAGGACAAGAAGAATCCGACCATTTAGGAGATGATTGAAGCAACACAGGCAAAGGCAGTAATGACTCAGAGGGAAATGTAACGAAAGTGGTGAAAAATGGTTGAATGTCGGGCGTATTCAGGAGAGAGAGCCACAGGGTTTGCTGACAAATTGGATGTGGGGTACAAGAGACAAGAGAAGCAAAGATGATTCTTAAGGTTTTAGGTTCCCCCAAAATGGAAGGATGGAGCTACCATCAACAGAAATGGCCAAGGCGGGGAGGGACAGGTTTGTGGGAGGGAATCAGGACATGTTAAGAAGTGTATTAGATGGCAGACAGCATCCAAGAGAAAATATATATTTCTTGGCTTTTGCTATTTAAATGTGTCTCTGATTTTCAACAAAGTATCTGGCCCTCCAAATGTGTTGGCCAGATGAAAGAACAAGAAAACTTCTTCAGGTTTTAGGTGAAATAATTACCAGATGATCCCATTTTATTTTGTGTACATACATATACGTGTACAGAGATTTTTGTAAGAAAACGAATAAATAGGTACTAAAATATTAATAGTAGACATGTGGGACATGGGTTAATGTTTTTAACTCGATTTCTTTCTCTTTTTTGAGAATCTCTATTTTCTACTACTTCTATAATTTATATAAAAGGAAGACAGAGTCCCAAATGTAAGAAGACTGTAACTTTCTTCTATGTTCCTGGTAAACCATGGAGTTTTCTCCCAACCAGTGCCAAGTTGTTGGACTCTTTGATGTGTACCGATTTTTGTTTATGAATAACAACACCATGTACGGCTTCCTCGTTTTTTCTTCTGAAATATTTCCTCATGCTCTACCCCCAAAATTAGAAATAGTAGGCTAAAACCTACAAAGATCTGTAGCTCTTCTTAAATGCCTGCCAGATTGCTCTGCAGAAAAGCTGAAGCCATCTATCATTCCAGCAGTAGAAGAATGCTAGACAGTACTAGGAAAGATAACTCCTCCTCCTAGGTCAGGATTTTAATTTCACACCAAAACCTTGCTTGTCAGCATTTCTCTGACTGCCACGGTGACATAAACAGGCTTCATGTAGACTCTGGGTACTTTGCAGGGGTAGGCATCGGCGTGGTCCATGCTGGCTATGAGAGACGCCTGGCCCATCACCTGGGAGCGCACAGCACACCCTCCATCCTCGGCATCATTAACGGGAAAGTCTCCTTCTTCCACAACGCAGTCGTTCAGGAGAACCTGCGGCAATTCGTAGAAAGTCTTCTTCCCGGGAACTTGGTGGAGAAAGTAAGTATGTATCGAGGACAGCATCGCTGAGAAGTAGTTTAACAGGTGCCTGGGTCTGCTGATGGCTGAGAGGTTTATCTGTGGTTCTCTCAGACCTGAGTTTCATTTTGAGCAGGCAAGACATAACAATGACTCAAACTAAATAATTTATATGAAGTCTACAGGAGACTGAAAATTGAGACAAAGAACAAAGGCTGAAAGAATTCATTCCTATGAATAACAGCCTTACAGATTTTACACTGTCACGGGGATCTGAACCTATGATGACAATGACTATTTTCTAAACAACCAAAAAACTCAAATCACGTGGTAGGATAAAGGGTTTCTATCCAGCTCATAAGTTTGTTCACATGAACATACCTCTCTCATGAAAATATTCAATTTAAATTATACCTGCTTATAGATTTAATGGTCATATGTATAAGATGCCAGATTGCATAAGATCATTTATTTCTGGAATAACTTTAGGAACTTACAGTGACGCATTATATGAGTGAATTTCACAAAGAAAAAGTTGAGCTGGCAGCGCCTGTGGCACAAAGGAGTAGGGCACCAGCCCCATATGCCGGAGGTGGCGGATTCAAACCCAGCCCTGGCCAAAAACTGCAAAAAAAAAAAAAAAAAGAAAGAAAGAAAGAAAAGGTTGAGCTACAAAATAAAGCCCAGGGTTCATATTAGTTTATGATTTTTATAATATTTTTACGCTCCTGATTTTTCTCCTCACTATCTTAGGTCAGGGATCAAAGTAACTAGGAAAAGACTCTCATTTTGCTTTAAATAATTTGTTCTTTTAACAATACCAGGGAGGGCCTGGTGCAGTGCCTCATGCCTGTAATCCTAGCACTCTACAAAGCCACAGGTTCAAAACCCCATCTCTAAAAATAGTCAGGTGTTGTGGTGGGCACCTATAGTCCCAGCTACTTGGGAGGCTGAGGCAAGAGAATCACTTGAGCCCAAGAATTGGAGGTTCCTGTGAGCTATGATGTCACCGCACTCTACCAAGGGTAACAAAGTGAAACTCCATCTCAAAAAATAAAAAATAAATAAAACAATACCAGGGAAAGTGAACATAGAAAAATCTCCATCTTATTTCTATATGCACTATTCATACTTGTAGACTGTCCTGCTAGGATCATCATCCATAGAAGAAATATTTGTTAGAGTAAGTTTAAAAGGTCAGAGAGGGGGTGGCGCCTGTGGCTTAGTGGGTAGGGTGCTGGCCCCATATACTGAGGGTAGCAGGTTCAAACCCGGCCCCAGCCAAATTGCAACAAAAAAATAGCCAGGTGTTGTGGCAGGTGCCTGTAGTCCTAGCTACTTGGGAGGCTGAGGCAAGAGAATCACCTGAGCCCAGGAACTGGAAGTTGCTGTGAGCTGTGATGCTACAGCACTCTACTGAGGGCAACAAAGTAAGACTCTTGTCTCTTTAAAGGGAAAAAAAAAAGATCAAAGAGGCCAGACGCTGTGGCTCACACTTGTAATCCCCAAACTCTGGGAGGCCAATGCAGGTGGATTGCTTGAGCTCAGGAGTTCAAGACCAACCTGAACAAGAGTGAGACCCCATCTCTAAAAATAGCTGGGCACTGTAGCAGGCCCCTGTAGTCCCAGCTACTTGCAAGGCTGAGGCAAGAGAATCAGTTAATTGGCTTGGCGCCTGTGGCTGAAGTGGCTAAGGCGCCAGCCACATACACCTAAGGTGGCGGGTTCAAATCCAGCCCGGACCCCTCCAAACAACAATGACGGCTGCAACCAAAAAAAAAAAAAACAGCCGGGTGTTGTGGCGGGCGCCTGTGGTCCCAGCTACTCAGAAGGCTGAGGCAAGAGGAACTCCTGAGCCCAGGAGTTGGAGGTTGCTGTGAGCTGTGAAGCCACAGCACTCTACCCAGGGGGATAGCTTGAGGCTCTGTCTCAAAAAAAGAGAGAATCAGTTAATCCCAAGAGTTTGAGGTTGCTGTGAGCTGTGACATCACAGTACTCTACTGAGGGGGACATAGTGAGACTGTGTCTCAAAAAAAAAAAAAAAGAAAATTAATTAAAAGGTCAGTATTGCAGGCTCCTAAAACACGATAGATTGTCCTGATGGTCCACAAACGTGTATAAAAATCCTGTTTTGTGCCAGGCAGAGAATAACATGAGTGTCAAGCAGCTCCCAAGCTAGGGTGGTTATTTCCATCCGATATATGGGAGCCCATCTTGTCGAGTCGGGAAAAGTTTCTTGGCAGAAATGACCCCTGTACTCAGTTTGCCAGGTGAAGAAAGAGAATGGGGGAAGGAGTTTCAGGCAAGCAGAGGTCTGGAGTGAGTTGTCATTGGTGAGCAAGAGGTGAGAGGGGCTGACAGGAATCTTGCTGCAAGGCCCTCAGAGCACCTCCTTGCCCGTTTAGGGAACTTTGACCTTGGATGACTGGTGATAGAGACATTATAGAGACTTCAGCAGAGAAGAGAAATGATCAGACTTAGGTTTTTTTTTTTTTTTTTTTTTTCCTTTCTTTTTGAGACAGAGCCTCAAGCTGTCCCCCTGGGTAGAGTGCTGTGGCATCACAGCTCACAGCAACCTCCAACTCCTGGGCTCAAGCGAGT